AATCCTCAAAAATGTTTGCACTTATTATAAAATGAGATAAATATAGATACTTGAACGTTGAAAATCGAGAGAAAGCGATCAAGATTCTGAGTGTAAAAAGCAACTTGAATAGACTTAAGTTCATGGCACATACAAAACGTAAGGCCGTAAAACGTAATCAGTAAGCGAATTGGCCAATCACAGTAGAGACCGTAAGGCCAGTAGCGAATCCAATGTTACGATTTCCTTACTGATTACGTCTTACGGCCTTACGTTTTTCTATGTGTTTCTGGCTTTAGAGCGACTGTTACCAACGCTGATTAACTTAATCGACGATTAGTCCATTGGAATTGACCAATCACATTTATCATTTAGTTTTGATGACAGACGCGATTGATCAATTCCAATGGGCTAATCGTCGATTAATGGCGAATTCGATTGGATGCACTAGTGCGCACTGAGTGCACCTGAGTTTATTTGTTTTCCTTTTCTCTTCAGGAGAAGAGAAAAGGAAAAAAGATGAACTGGTGCAATCACCCTGCACTGGTGCATCCCAATCGAATTCGCCATAAGTTAATCGGCGTTGGTAACAGTCGCCCTAAAGATGAAGGGGAGGTCATCAGATATGTATATGTATATCTATGGTCATCATCCATCGCTTAAAATATTTTATTAAATATAATTATATATAACTCGCGATAAATAAAATAAATAAAAATATAATATATTTTTAAAAGAGCTATAAAACTATGGAATTATAAACGTTTTATGTATATGTTGGTATAAATATTTAAGAAATATTAGGAAATATTAAATTGTCAATATACAAAAAAAAATTTTAATCACTGTATGTAATAATATAAACAAAAATAAAACAAATAAAGGACTCTTTCTTTAAAAACATTATAAACATGGAAATGGCATTGTAAGAGTCAAACGAAAAGAAAATTAAATTAACAACAAATTAATACATATATTCTAAAATTAATGAACATATAAAATTTACATAAATGTAACGATTAAAAAACAGATGTTAATTACATTACTAGTTTCGACCACCAAATCTGGTCCTCTTCAGATGAAACACTTTACGTTGAAATGTACAAA